AAAGGGTCTGTATGTAAAAGCGTCTGTGTGTAAAAGCGTCTGTGTGTAAAAGCGTCTGTGTGAAAAAGCGTCTGTGTGTAAAAGCTTCTGTGTGTAAAAGCTTCTGTGTGTAAAAGCGTCTGTGTGTAAAGGAGTCTGTGTATGAAAGCTTCTGTGTGTAAAAGCTTCTGTGTGTAAAAGCTTCTGTGTGTAAAATCGTCTGTGTGTAAAAGGGTCTGTGTGTAAAAGGGTCTGTATGTAAAAGCGTCTGTGTGTAAAAGCGTCTGTGTGTAAAAGCGTCTGTGTGAAAAAGCGTCTGTGTGTAAAAGCTTCTGTGTGTAAAAGCGTCTCTGTATAAAAGCGTCGCGTTTCTTCACATCCACGGAATGATGGTACCGAGCTTTTTCGGCAATGTGTGTAGGAATTACCATAGTAAAATGAGATAACACATGTCATTCGTAGCATCATGGTACCGAGCCTCCTGTGCACTTTTGTTGCTCACATTATATTTCTTCATGTTTTCTTTCTATCTCCCTTTCATTCTCTCTCTCTCTCTCCCCCCTCTTTCTCTCTATCTATGTCTCTCTGTGGTTGCAAGACACGTGTCATCTGATGCCCTTTACCAAGTATCCTCTTCTTAATCAATCTTACTTTTCACACCTTATCCCTCCATAGCTCATAAAAAATTCACCAACCATTCACCGACTATCTTTTACGACTACCATCCTCAGAGCTGCTTGAAAAACATCTTTTTCGCTCTCGGGCCAACCGTCGTCTAGTTCCCCTTGGTTGCACATATTTTCCCCTTGAACGCACGAAAAGCCAGAAAACGTGCATTCAAGGGGAAAAGATGTGCTACCAAGGGGGAAAGGTATGTATGAATGTACGTATGTATGTATGTATGTACGTTTTTGTGGGAGAAGCTCCTGTACGATTGGCTCTCCCTTCCCCTGGTCACAGTTGAAGGCTCAGATGGGGGCTTCAGACCAGTTTCAGACCAGTTTCAGAACCCCAGAAGGGACATGTTTGGAATGCAGGTATGTAAGTATGTAGGTATGTAGGTATGCAGGTATGTAGGTATGTAGGTATGTAGGTATGTAGGTATGTAGGTATGTAGGTATGTAGGTATGTAGGTATGTAGGTATGTATGTATGCATGTATGAAGCGAGGTTTTTCCCCTTGGTTGCACATATTTTTCCCTTGAACGCGCGAAAAGCCAGAAAACGTGCATTCAAGGGGAAAAGATGTGCTACCAAGGGTGAAGAATATGTATGTAAGTATATATGTATGTATGTACGTTTTTGTGGGAGAAGCTCCTGTATACATACAACACCTGTTTAGGTCCAAAGTGGAACCTCAGGTTTTTAGATGTTTCTTGGAGGTTCCATCCTGATACCAATCTTGAAACAATATTTTTCAAAAAATCCTGAGACAAGTCCTAAAACAATGTATAGAGGAAAAAAATCGGAAACGCTCCTGTATGATTGGCTCTCCCTTTCCCCCTGGTCACAGTTGAAGGCTCAGATGGGGCTTTCAGACCAGTTTCAGACCAGTTTCAGACCAGTTTCAGACCAGTTTCAGACCAGTTTCAGACCCCCAGAAGGGACATGTTTGGAATGCAGGTATGAAGGTATGAAGGTATGTAGGTATGTAGGTATGTAGGTATGTAGGTATGTATGTATGTAGGTATCTACGTATGTATGTATGTATGTATGTATGTTTGTATCTACGTATGCATGTATGAAGCGAGGTTTTTCCCCTTGGTTGCACATATTTTTCCCTTGAACGCGCGAAAAACCAGAAAACGTGCATTCAAAGGGGAAAGATGTGCTACCAAGGGGGAAAAGTATGTATGTATGTATATATGTTTGTATGTATGTAAGTATGTAAGTATGTATGCATGTATGCATGTATGTATGTATGTAAGTAAGTATGTAAGCCTGTAAATATGTGAGAATGCATGTACGTTTTTGTGGGAAAAGCTCCTGTATGATTGGCTCTCCCTTTCCCCTGGTCACAGTTGAAGGCTCAGATGGGGTTTCAGACCAGTTTCAGACCAGTTTCAGACCAGTTTCAGACCCCCAGAAGGGACATGTTTGGAATGCAGGTATGCAGGTATGCAGGTATGTAGATGTAGGTATGTAGGTATGTATGTATGTACGTATGTACGTCTGCATGTATGTGTGTATCAATGTATCTTTGTATCTATGTTTGTATGTCTGTATGTACATATGTATGGGAACATTCAGTGGCTTATTTATCTAATCCTTTGAAGCTTCCAGACCTTGAGTCGCTTTCCAAGCCAGCAATCTGAATTAATAATTCCCTATCCCGCCTTGGCATCCAGCCGTTCTTCGTCCGAAGCTAGGATTATATATTAAAACTATTGGCGTCTAGAATATTGTATGTGTGTAACCATATGGAACCGAAAACTATCTAATCGAAATGAGTCAAGAATCCCGTAATATTTACGAACTTACTCCCCACAAGACCCGAACCGCTGCGAACCGAATCGATATCCGAATCGCGGATGACGGAATCGAAAACGAATTCTTTTGAAATCAATTCTTTAAAATCTATATAAGGAATGGAATCGAAATCGCCAAAAACGAACCGGGACCACCCTGTCTTCGGCCCAATCGCCGTCGGTTCCTTCTAATTCACCTTCTTCGAGAACGAGGAAAGGTCTTCTCTGTCCAATGCCAGAGGGTTGCATCATAGAATTCTCGTAGTGCAAAACATTTCCAGGAATAGATCTGTGAGTTCTTGCACATTATACTGATCTAATGTTCTTCCACGATGTGTCATGATACTTGTGAGTGTGTTTCTCTGATCTTGCATCAATCTGCCAGACTTACAAGAATCAATGCTGACAAGTTGTCACCCAAGGGAAATGCCAATCTCTGTTGTGATCTTCTGTCTGCGTTGAGTTGCATGAATGCTGCCAATGCCAGTTCATCTGTCCAAGGTACATTGACATGTTGCTGCAATGCCTGCAAGTTCAGCTTGTCGGGCTTCATGTTCTTGACGACGTCGTGCAACATATGCAATTGCTTCCGGACTGTTGGTCTCCAAATCTGGAAAGAGATCCATCCAAGACCCAATAAGTCTACTTCCAGTAAGTTGAAATCTAGTCATCCATTTTTGAAAATCCATCGTACCTCTGTTGTGTTTCATGAACTGCATGAATCGATACAAGATCACTGTTTGGGATCCCTTGATGAAATGTGGTCGCAAGAATCTTTTGAAATAGCTCGCGCCGTCATTTGGGTCTCTCAACAACTCTCTGTTCAGTAGTCTTTTGTACTGAGATGCTTCACCTTCTAATCCGTTCCTCAATTCAGGTTCCAATCTGTAAGGTCGCACCAATCATTAATTGCATCTTCGAAAGCAAAGAAACTGGTCCTTCCATCATAAGCAGGGGCTACCTTCGTGGTCATCTGCTGAGTCATGTGTATTGCTGGTTGTTGGGGTGCTCTTCTCATTGCATAGAATCATATTGATTCCATCCATCTGCATCGACACTGTCGAAGTCATCATCATAGCCATGGCTTGCCATGTTGGGCTCTACCGTGAGCTCACCTTCAATGAAGGATCACAGCCCCGCTACCACTTGAAGAGGGGCAATAGAGTCCTGATAGGATCAGCTAGAGCTCTTGAGCCTTGACAGCGTATATAAACTGTGCTCAGTACTCATGCTATGCCTGGTAGGGTGAAGCCCAACACAAAAACAAGGGCACAGCCTCCCCCAAAAGCAGAATGACAACACTTGTTTTCACAGGCAATGCTGTAGTTTGAATGTGCTACTCAATGTGTTTATAATGCCGAGCGTGCCCTTTGTGAACATGTAGAATGTAGGCTGCGGATGGTTGGGGGACCGCGGTGAAAAATTGTTCAAATAGTTTATTGAATATTATCATAATGTCGGTTTAAGATTTGTTTAAGGTGTATTTAGGGTTGGCTTTGGGGTTCTGTAGGTATGTTTAGGGTGTTTCTAAAGTTGGCTCAAGGTTCGTGTTCAGGGTTGGTTTAGGATCCAGTTAAAATTTGTTTATGGTTGGTTGTAGGGTTTATTTAGAGATACAAGATGTACATATAAAGTACCAATAAATATGTGTATGTGTATATGTAAATATGCTTGCATGTAAAAAGTATAATATCATAATATGTGTATATGTAAATATGCTTACATGTATAATATGATGAGGTAAATATATGAATATGATAATTATGGTTATATGACCTTCCTTCCTTCCTTCCTTCCTTCCTTCCTTCTTTGCATATTTTTTTGATCCGGAATATTTTTTTTGGATCCATATTTTTTTTTTGACCCCTATCCCCCCGAGCACACTATGATTTACACAGGCAACCCCTGACCCTTCTGGCATCTTCTGGCATACAACAGTTACACGACTTCCTGGCCCGGGCGCTTGCATCACTTGACCAAGAAAGGGTGTATCTGCAATATACCAGAAGCGCCATCCCTCTCTCGTTTCAACACCATCTATCATACTTTTCCTCGGTGCGGACGGACCCTGCCCACACCCACAAGTTGCACCAGAACGCACCGACACGGAAAGGTAAAAAGGGATCACTTTATAGAACACCATAAAAAGCATCGCTTTAGAACACAGTAACTTTTCATCACTTCAGAACACCATGCCAGACATCACTTCAGAACACAGCCCAAAAACATGGCATCATGGCCACTGAGGCGCAGCACTTTGGAAGGTTACGCGTAAACCAAAAAAAGGCGCCATTTAGGGATTGTTTCCTGGGCGAGACTGATTCCTGGATTTTGACAGGGCTTGGTTCCAGATCTAAAAAAGCTTAGAATCGAATTTAATGCTCCCCTGCTGCCACCTACGTGCGTGCGGAATGGATATGGGCTGCATTCAAATTCAATCTGCTTCCAAGTGGCGCAACTGGCAAGACTTCAGAATTTGGATTCAATCCAACCAAGTCTTTCCTGTCTCCTAGCTCTGGGTTCAATCTTTTTTTGCTGCAGTTGCACGAACGCCTCACGCGTCGAGCGAAGCAGTTGCTTCATAGTGACGGCCTTTCACATAGCAAGCCACCACCACAGGAAAGCCCCACGCTGCTTCGGAGATGGACCGTGGTGGTGAAAAATGGTCTCACTATAGGCTTCGTCTGCTATGTCACTGATTACATGTATGGGCCTCATCATTAGATGGGCTGCTGCTTGCACACACACAAATCGTCACCGTAGGTAGTTTCTCGAGACATCGCGGCCAGGTCGGCATCATATGATTGGAAATGGGTGTCAAACCACGGCTTGAACTCAGATCCGAATCCGCGCAAATAGGCCACAATCTCCGCACGAAGTTTGCTGTGTTCCAAAGCAAGGCCTGCCGAAAAGCACAAGCTGACAAACAAACAGTTGCCATCATGTGGGACATCCAACCGTTCCAGCCCTTTGCTTCCCAACTGACGGGTGAGAACTCGGCGGCTTTCCTCAAAATACTTCTCCATTTCCACATTGTCTTGCAAGACAACTCGCAAGCCATTTTCAATTGCTTCTCATCCCACTCACTCGACGCATCAGCATCATCTGGATCTGGCTGCATCCTGCAAATTCCGTTTGACCTTGGGAAACTGTGAGGCAAAAAGACACATTGATGCATTCCCTGCTGCAATTGCCATTAAGTAAATCTTTTCATCAATGAAATTACAAATATGATCACAGGTGAAACAAAAAATGCACATATCATCCTGTCTTGGTGACACCAAGCAACATGTTGGAGGCAACGGTGTAGCTTGAGATTCAGCCCTTCTTGTGCACACAAAGATGCTACAGCATTGTAGCATAAACAGTCTGCGAAACCATGTGACAGTGGAACGCCCAGCTTCTCTGTCTGTTCAAGCAAGAGTTTTGCTGCAAAATGTTGGGCAACCTCGTCCTCTTTGTTGCTCAAAGCGAAGAACGTTGGTAAGAACCGTACAACCGGCCCTGACCTTTCAACGACCACACCAGCAGCACCACTTGCTCCCAAAGTAAGCCAGTTTGATTTGTTTGGAATGTAAAATCCAAACAAAAGCAGGAAAGCTTTTTTCCTGAAGAATCTCATTGATGCCCTCCTTCAAACCAAAAGCAAGCACAACCCTCTCTTTTTCCAAAACCATGCTGTCATGGAAAACAGTCACGCCAGCTGGCGGATCCGAAACAAACTCTCGAAGATCCCCCAAACACGAAACACTATGCTCCGTAGGGCCAGTTTGCTCTTTCTTCGGCCTCCGGTTCTTGAGCTGGAAAACTTCTGGTCGCTCATCCTTTGGGATCTTGGCTTCTGACATCTTTTTCAATGCCCTTCCAGGAGTGTGATCCTTGGCGAAGGCCCTAGCATGCGAGCGTTTCAGTCGCTCTAAATCTTTGTCACCAGAACAGAAACCAACTGTCTCTACCTGGAGCTGACCCTCCCTGTTGGAAAAGCACCACTGTTTACTGCAACTCAAACAGCTGGAGCATCGAGCTATCAAGGTCTTCACACCCTTGTCAGATGAAGCCGTCAGAGTGTTATGGAGAATGCCTTGTTGCTGAAGCCATTTCTGCCCCGCACGCCTCAATGACTCACTGGGATCCAACGCTTGCTTGCAGATGACCTCCCATGCTTTTTGCTGACGCCCCCTCACAGGACTTGCCGGACCCTCATCAGATGAATCCCTCTCAGAGGGAACAACAGCTTGGTCCGCCATCTGCGGATTACATTCGAATATAAAGCCACAAGCCACATGACAAGCAATACAAAAGAAGAAATAGATTCGAATCAAGCCACAGGATCATGCCCCAATGAATCCACAATGGAATTAAATTTGGTTTTTGAACTCCAATGAATATGGCGTTGCAAGAACATAAATCTGAATTTAACTCTCCTGGTAGTTGAAAAACAACGCATGGCCAACATTCAAATCTAAGCTTCCCCAGCAAGACAATGGCAGTGACGAAGGATTAAAATCGAATGTGAACATTGCATGGAAATAGAAAGATAAAAGATACCCCAAGATTAGATTCAAATATAATGCCTGCAGGGAGGACCTGGTGGCCAAAAAAAGAAGCTTAAAATCGAATTTAATACCATTTAAATCTAGTTTCCAGGCCTTTTTATTGTTTCCTTGCATCAGGCTTTCAGCTGTAGTGGTCTAGACCTTGGAAGTCTTTATGCTCAAACACCTAGCCATTTAGGGTTTATTTAGGGGGAGGGGGGGTTCAGAACCAGCCATTAGGGTTTATTTGGGGGGCAAAAGGGTTCAGCTGCCTTTCAAAGGTTGGAACGACTCCTTCCACTCTAAGGGTTCTTACTTGTCTCTTGCCTTGGGAGTCCTTGTGCTCAACTAGCCAGCAAACTGAATCAATGCTGCTGATAGAATTAAACAGCGACCGCACTCTTAGAAACCCTTGATAGCCAAAAACATCCTCATGATCCTAAAATGTGTCATCACAACTGGAAAATCTTTACCGTGGCCACAGATATTATCTATTACGACCCTTCACATATGTGATGTCACACTAAGGAACGACACATGCTGCTGCTGCTGATGATGATGATGACGACGATGATCATGATGATGCGGGTGATGATGGTGATGATGATCATGATGATCATGATGATGGTGGTGATGATGACTATGGCTATGATGATGATTGTGGCTATGATGATGATTATGGTTGTGATGATGATGATGATGATGGTGGTGGTGGTGGTGGTGGTGGTGATGGTGTTGGTGATGATGATGATGATGATGGTGATGAAATATGATGAAATAGGATGAAATATGATGAAATATGATGAAATAGGTATGTATGTTGTTGCTGATGGTGATGATGATCGTGATGATGACTTTGGGGTTACAAGCAAACACATGTAGGAGTTACAAGCCTTGGTTTTCGCCGCGTCCCAAAAGCGATGGTTTTCTGAGTGTTCTAAAGCGATGCTTTTCTGCGCGTTCTAAAGCGAGGGCCTTGCTACACGGAAATGCTCCATCTGAACATATATGAACAACATGATTTGACCAGATTGATTCGACTGATGCCCGTTGATGGTGACTGTGGATGTCACCATAGGATCAAAGGGCGACCAATCGTAAAGGACAATGCCGCTTCTTCATCCACCCTGTCGAAGAATTTAACATCAAGGACAACGTCCGAAGGGGTGGTCGCGCACCGCGCCTGCAAACCATTTGCAAAATCATCACCCGAATCACCCCGTAGGATGGTCCACTGATGGGCCCCGTCACTGTCGAATTTCATCACGAACACGTCAAAATCGCCAGCATTGCTTTGGTTGTCCAGGTCAGTGGAGGCTGTATAGCCGGCCACGAAGACATTCCCGGATGCGTCCACCTGTGCCACGGCCAGCACGGCATGGGCTGAGTCGTAACATGACAAGACCTGTCTGATTCCGAATCAGTTGGATTGTACAAAGTGAAGTCACGACACCTGGAAGCGTCAACCTGGACATTTTGATAAATTTGACAAGTCTGGATTTCGGCAGCACTGAACCACGTGGACTAACTTGAACAGTGTTGTCAATAGTTGGTTAGCGGCTTTCTGTCCCAAATACCCACAACCAAAACTTTCACCAGAACAAACCGACAGGGAAATGCTCTATCTGAACATATCTGAACAACATGATTTGACCAGATTGATTCGACTGATGCCCGCTGATAGTGACGGTGGATGTCACCATAGGATCAAAGGATGACGAATCGTAAAGATACAATTTCTCCAACTAGTTCAACTTTCACATCAGTGAAATGCTTCTTCATCTACCCTGTGCAAAAACTTCACATCAAGGACAACATCGGAAGGGGGGGGTCGCGCACCGCGCCTGCAAACCATATGCAAACTCATCACCCGGACCACCCCGTAGGATGGTCCACTGATGGGCCCCGTCACTGTCGAATTTCATCACGAACACGTCAGTATTGCCAGCATTGCTTTGGCTGTCCAGGTCAGTGGAGGCTGTAAAGCCGGCCACGAAGACATTCCCGGATGCGTCCACCTGCGCCATGGCCAGCACGGCATGGGCTGAGTCGTAACATGACAAGAACTGTCTGATTCCGAATCAGTTGGATTGTACAAAGTGAAGTCACGACACCTGGAAGCGTCAACTGGGACATTTTGATAAATTTGACAAGTCTGGATTTCGGCAGCACTGAGCCACGTGGACTAACTTGAAAATCTGGCGCGGTCATTTCAAGGCTTGGACATCAAAAACCAATCGCACCAACAAAATTCAGGCTGTCAATGTAGCTGTTCATGTATTTGATCTTACCGGCGGGGATCTCAATAGTCTTGCGCCATGGATCATAAATCTCTCTGTTGGTTGTAAAAAAAAGGGAAAACGCCTCTGCATCGCGCAACCTGCCGCTGAAAAAGCGATCAGAATGCCTGTGCTGCTCTCCGGGCGCATCAAACCATTGTGGGCTCTCCATGGAGCCGGTTTCCG